TCAGTGCAGCCGCCTGCCTCATAGGCACCAGTATATACAGTTAGTCAGGGTGAGAGTCTCCCTAGCCAACCACTAATCTCAAAAACATGCTGATGTACCCCAGGATCACTGCCCCACCCATCTCATGCGTACAAATGTACAGCTTTGCCCCTGTCATGTTTTCCAGCTTTTCTCCTTGCCCACTCCTCATTGTCCAGTCCTCAAGTTCTCGCTTTCCTTTTCTTTGTGTTGTAACTTTCTATATATAATTCCTCTTTTAAGTTCTTATACTAGGGAGACTATACGATATTTACAGATGTGGGTTTGGTTTATTTCACTTATAAGAATATCTTCAAGTGGCATCCACTTAAATCTGAAGGCTTTGAGTTTATCATTCTTTATAGCTGAGTAATACTCCATTACATAAAAGTACCACATCTTTTTCAGCCATTCCATATGTGACGGGCATCTTGGTTGTTTCCAAGATCTGGCTATCACAAACTGTGCTGCTATAAACATAGGTACACATATATCACTACGATATGATGCTTTCAGTTCCTCCGGGAAAATTCCCAGTAAGGGGATAGCAGGCTTGAGTGGGATTTCCAGTCCTAGTTTTTTAAGGAGTCTCCACACTGATTTCCATAATGGTTGCACCAGTCTACACTCGCACCAACAGTGGAGAAGGGTTCCCCATTCCCCACAGCCTCTCCAAGATTTGTTGTTGGTTGATTTCTTTATGTTAGCCAATCTTTCTGGGGTGAGATGATATTTCAGCATTGTTTTAATTTGCATTTCATGGATGGCTAGTGATGAGGAGCATTTTTTCATATATTTATTCACTTTTTTAATTTTATCCTCTGAGAAGTGTGTGTTCATCTCGGATGCCCATTTCTGGATTGGGTCTTTAAATTTAGGGGCCCCAATATTCTTTAGTTCTTTATAAATTCTAGAGAGCAGATCTTTGTCTGAGTGTTTATTAGTTAAGATTTTTTTGAAGTTTGTGGGTTGTCTTTTCACTTTGTTGATAATTTCTTTTGATGTGCAAAACCTTCTCAATAAGAAGTGGTCCCAGTTGTTAATTCTTTCAAGTATTTCCCGTGTGATTTGATTTTTGTTCATGAACTCTTTGCTACCCCTTATGTCTTCAAGAGATCCTCCTACTTTCTCTTCTAGTAGATTTAGTGTTTCTGTTTTAATGTTCAGTTCTTTAATCCATTTTGACTTTAGTTTAGTGTATGGTGATAGACCGGGGTCAAGTTTTAGTTTTCATCATGTAGAGAGCCAAATTTTCTAGCACCATTTTTTTTTTTT